GAACAGGCAGATGGACGCAGTACACTGCTGAGGGGAGCAGCGGACGGGTCAGGAGAGGTCTGCCACGCCATGTGGATCTCCTCTGGGGCAGGTGGGGATGGAACTCATGCAGTAGTGGCTTAAGCTTCTTAGTGCAGTGCTTTAACCCGCTGTGCCACGAGGGAGGGCCCATTATGATCTTTTTAAAGATTTATTTTATTTATGCATACAGAACTGGGTTACAGGCCAGAGATGCAGGGGCGGTTACAGGATTCACCAGAGACAGAGTGGGGTGCAGAACAGGCAGATGGGCAAAGTACACTGCTGAGGGGGGCAGGGGGTGGATCAGGAGAGGTCTGCCATGTGGATTACCTCTGGGGCGGTGATTGAAGTCACACTGAAGTGGCTTTAGTTTCTCAGTGTTGTGCTTTAACCTGCTGTGCCACCAGGGAGGGCCATCTTCATTATGATTTTTAATCATAGCATATCTGAATTCTCTGTCAGGCAGAGACATTCTTCTATGTCATTGTTGAGTTTTGGGGACTGTCTTTCTTTGTGGTAATATCATTCCCCAGAGGGCTTGCTTGGCTGTTTGCATTTCTTCTTTTCCCTGTTGTTTCCAAACTTGTTCTGTGCCACTGGTGCAGGCAGGCATCTCACTGGGTGATCAGGGACTGGTGGCTGGGCCAAGATCAGCATAGTCACACCAGACATCACAAGGATTGTGATGCTATGGTTGAGTTGATGGGCTCTAGCCTTGGAGATCACAGAGTCTGTGGAGGCTGGTCTTTTCCCCTTTGTGTGTGTCTTAATCTACAATGTCAGTTGGGGTCTTTGTATGCACATAATGGTTTACACAGACTCTATCATCACTGTGTGTGGGCCAAAATGCAGAGGGCTGGGCCCTCTCTCTGCCTTCTTCAATTTACTCTCTGTACCACATGGGGTGCCCAGGTGCAGAGAGGGCAGAGGGGGTTGCCAGCCTCCTCAGCTGAGTGTGGGTAGAGGGCACTGTCCTGGACTTCACTGCTCACCTTTGTTTGCTGGACCCTCCTTCTGCCTTTACTCAGTTACAGATGGGGGGGAAGGGCATGGGCCCCAGGCACTTTCCTGTGACTGGCCGCTTACCTTGGTTTTCAGAGTCTTCCCTCTGGCTTTACTCAGTTCCAAAAGGGTACAGTTTTTTAAGAGATAGTTCTTAGATTTGCTTAATCTGAATCTTTGTTTGCTTTCTCTACATTCCACACATAAATGGCACCATCTGGTATTATGATCCAATTTTATTTTTAAGATTTATTTACTTATGCATACAAGAACTGGGGTATAGGCCAGAGGTGTAGGAGGGGAGAAGATTTCACCAGAGACAGAGTGGGGAGCGGTACAGCCAGATCTACCGAAATACATTGCTGAGGGGAGCAGCTGGAGAGACAGGAGAGGTCTGCCATGTTATGTGGGTCACCTCCCTGGCTGGGGATCGAACTCATGCTGCAGTGGCCATGGATAGTTTCATAGTGCTGTGCTTAACCCCTTAGGCCACCACAGAGGCCCCATGATCCAGTTTCTTAAAATAAGCTTCTTAATTATAAATGTCTATGTCTGTCTTTCACCTTTTCTATTTCTATGGAGGAACATGACTGGGTGGGTATAGAATTATGGATTAGATATAAATCTCAAAAATTTGAAGGCAAAACTTCATTGTTTTCTAGCTTCTAGTGATGCTGTTGAGAACTGATACAATTCTGAAGCTTGGAACTATATAAATTAATTTTTAGCCTACTAAACTTATAGCATCTTCTTGTTCCTGCTGGTATGAAATTGCATAGTCAAGTTCATATTCACCCATTATGATGGACACTCAGGAATCCCTTTCAATCTGGAAACTCTGGGAAATTTTCTTGAAATAATCGATGGTTTCCTGATCTGTTTTTTCTTTTTGGACACTCTGTTATTTGGATACTGGATCTATTAGAATAGTCTTCAGATTTTCTTATTCCTTTTCTCCTGTTTTTAATCACTTTGTATATTTCCTTAACCTTCTGCTATTATACTTATTACTTTCTAAAAGCTCTTCCAGTTTTCTGAACATTCATTTTCAGAATGGCATTCTAATCTTGTTTCATGCATGCCATATAATTTATTATCACTGAAGATATGTATGTTCTCATAATTTGGAGACAAAATATGAAGGAGATATTTCATAATTTGTTTTGGAGTTTACTTCTGAAAACAGTCATGCATGTCATAATAATGTTTTGGTCAGTGACAACCCTCCTGTATAGTGTAGGTGTCTAGTAAGCTCTGCCATATAGGTTTGTGTGGTATGCTCTTGACATTTGGTCAAAGACAGAATCACTTAATGATGCATTTCTTAGTCATATTATTTAGTGACACATGCCTGTAGTACCTACTTCCCATAGTGGTAATTTTGTTAATATATTTCTGTGTCATTTTAGGGAATTTCCTTCAATGTCTCTTGATTCTTGGTTGACTGAGGTGACCCACAGGGCACAGCAGATCTCTTTTGTCTCGCATGCTGCTTCTCTCAGCAGTGTACTTCTTGAATTGACTCTCTTAATCCCTGCTCTTTCTCTGCCAAATCCTCTCATGGCCCCTGCACCTTAACCCAAGTTCTATGTGCATTAAAAAAAAAAAAAAAAAAAAGAGAGAGTAGGGACTAAGTCTTATGAGTATATGAGTATATGGGAGCAGTTTGTGACTGTAAAGTGCCCTGGCTTAGTGAGTTTTGGGGGGAATCTGTAATGTGGCCACCTTTAATATTTCTCCTTTAGTAAGGTAACTATATAATTTGTGAACAAAAATTGAATATTTTTGAGAAGGAAAGTATTTATTATAGTTATGCCTGTGAGACAGACTCTGTCCCAGTAAAATTAGAAGATAGTCACATACATCTTGGCAGTAATATTTCTTAGAGAAAATTTTTTTATGTCCAGTATTAGTCTTCAAAGTCTACATTAGGAGTTGTTGGAGGAAACAGTTAGGTAGTCTCATCATTTCTTTGCTGTGCATACATATAGACCTAAATTGGAAGGTATCCTAGTATCAATCAGTAGCAATAGAGTAGAAATTGGGGCATATTCAGAGTGGAATACAACTCAGCAGTGAAAAAGAATGAGCTTCATATATATTTATATATATATACACATACATGAAACTCATATAGTGTAGAATAAAAATAGACAAAAGCTAGATATAGTATATATGATATTTATATGAACTTTAAAAACTGGCAAAACTAACCCATGATGAAAATCATAAAAATGGTTACCTTTGGGGCATTTCTGGAGAGGTATCAGTATCACTAGTGGCATTGAAATGGAAGGGGGCATGAAAGGGCCTGCAGTTTAGATAGAAATACTGTCATTTTTTTTTCTGGGTGCTAGTAATGTGCATACATGTATAAAAATTTATGATATAGTTAATATCTCTGCACTGTACTGTAAGAAGAGTATATTTCATTTACTATAAAGGATCCAAGGAGTTGATTTTTTTCTGAGACAGTTGAGATGATTATAGCTTGGCAAATGGTGATGGTATAGTGATGAGTTTGGATTAGTTTCATCACATTGAAATAGCATTTTAGTTAGGTCTTAAAAAAAAATGATTTGCTTAAGCATACAAGAATTGGTATAGGCCAGAAGTGTATGTGTGTGTGTGTGTGTGTGTGTGTGTGGGTCGGGGGGAGAATGAAAGGATTCCTCAGAGACATCATGGGAGCACAACAGGCTGACTGATGAAGTACACTGCTGAGGGAAGCAGCGGGCAGGACAGGAGAGGTCTGCTGCTCCATGTGGCTCAGCTACCTGGCTGGGGGTCAAATTTGTGCTGCAGAGGCTGTGGAGCTTTTTAACTCCTTATGCCACCGGCAGTGGGGGGGTCCTACTTAGGTTTTAATATCTAGTGGTCCTTAACACTTCTTGGGTCAAGGTCACTGTGAATTTGATGAAAATGGTATCCTTTCTCTTCATTAAAAAAAAAAAGTCCCCATTCACAAAGTTGTATACAACTTGGGAATCTACTTCATGGCCCTATTAATATCTATGATCTAAGAGTCACTGAGGACCCTTGCTTATATACATGTGCAATTTGGGACAGGAAGAGTGGGATTCCAGCAGTTAAACCCTGAGAAGTTGAGTGGTGGTTAGCACATAAGAATACTAGAGAGTAAAGAGGAACAAAGACTTTAACATTCACTTCTGCATAATGTTCTTTGACAACCCAACCCATTAACTTTGCAGGATACTCTGCTTAGACTGAGTATCTCTGGCTCCAGTTTCCATTTAATCTCATGTTTTCTGATAAGAGTCAACTTATTTTAACTTGAATTAATTTATACTGATCATCTTATTTATGAGGAATGTTTTTCTACAGCTTTGGTTATTTTGTGTTCTAGTGATTTTTTTTTTTTCCCCCTTATATTCCCACCGGTATGTGATTTTTGCAGCCGCTTAAGCCTGCACTGTGTAGGTCACTCCTTAGATAGTTTATGTATCAATTGCTTAAAACATTCACTGCCTGTCTCTGCTGAGTCCATTCCTATGGCAGAACTATATACCTCATTCCCTTGACATCAAACTTGTCACTGTCATTTGCTTTGTGGAATGTGAGCACAAGAGTTGGAAACTGTATTTAAGCAACAGATATATGAACTCCTACTACTTGGCTCCATATCACCTTTTTTCTTCTGCTGCAAAAGTGGCTTGTCCAATCTAGGGATGACTCTGGGCCACCTACCCAGAGATTTTTGGGATTGTTTGTTAATCACAATATAGCATAGTGTAAGTTGTATACTATACCAGGACATTTGAGAGATTCTTTTATCTGAGTTGCGTAATAATCTGCTATTGAATGTTTCCCCTGGGCCCAGAAAATTTTCTCTTCATCTGTCATGAGTCAGTTTATTTAGGATTCCCAAATATCTAGAAATGAGGGCCTAAGTTATTTTTGATTACTAAAAGAAATCTAAAGACCATAAATTACCGTAATTAACATAGTGCCACAATTGAGAACAAAATATTTTATTTCTCTCAATAAAACTATAGTTTACAATAGTATTTACTAAATAAATTATATAATTTCTCTTTTACAAGCAATAAACTAAATCACAGATATTTCAAAGACAATGTATGTACACAACATAAGGCCTTTTATAAATAGCTTTGCTTTTCTCATTTCACTAGTAAACAGTGAAAAAATCTTTATAGGAGCTAGTTTTCTATAAAGTATAGTATGCAGACATCTTACACTGATCTTTATAGGAAACCAATTAGAACTTTAAATGACATGGGCTGTGATTATAATTTTGCAAAAAAAAAAAAAGCAGAATTTATATTTTATTCCATTTTGCATGGATTTTTAAAAATATATAAGATTACCTATGTTTTTCATGTATAATCACTGGATGCATGCAAAATGAAATAATGCAAATGTCAATAGGAAAATAGCACTTCCAAGTTCAAAAAGGTGATTGGCAATGGTATAGAAAGCAGCTGAAATACATAGTTCATGCAGTTCTTCACAGTTGAGCAAGCAACAGCAAATGACAACAGTGTGGTATTTTTCACATCACATCTGCTGACCAGCTTATGGGCTGTGCTTCCCCTGACATCTCGCAAACTCCTAAGTCCAGTTGATGGTTCCTTTGTGTGCAGAGGGGCTCAGCCAAGTTCCTTTTGTATTTCTGAAGTGGAGAAGCTTCTCTCCCACCACTGTATTTCTGTCTCATCCATCTGTTACAAGTGGTCACCATTTGACTTACTGGAGGGGGGAAAAAAAAGGAAAATCAGCTGTAAGACTTGCATTTTGTCATTGATTTATAGCTGCTTCTTATCAGTGGGACGAGGAACTTATTATTTCTCTGTGACTTGTACTTGAGAAATGAGCAGGTAACAGTGGGGTGCATTAGGCTTGGATTCTTCTGCAGTGATGAGCAGAGCACATACTTATCTGATGGACTTGTGGTGTATTAATTACTACCTCACAACACTCCTCCAGGAACTTGGGAGGTAACCCTGGGTACACTCCTGCCCCACAAGTGCACAGCGTTTTGGGGATGTACTATGACATATCAGGTCTGAAGACAACTAGAACAGAAAATGCACTGCTTGTTCATACTCAAATGCTATCCCTGAGGCAGAGTAAAAATATATCCAGCAAATAGTTAACTGAAAATGGCAACCATTTAAGGTCAAAGGCAGTTATTTCAACCTGTGACAGCTGCACCAAGAATATGTAGGGAAGCAGGACCAGTCAGCTTTGAGAGACATGGGAAAGTATTGATTTTCTAATTACCACAGCTACCGTAGACACCCAAGTTACTTTACCTTTATTCACACCTTATTTGTTTTCTCTGTAAAGTGAGGTCAAGAAACCTCACTTTATAGAGTAGTTGTAAGGGATAAACTTTTCTATGGGGAAATTCCAAGTATGTGTGTACATGTGTATGCATGCGTAAATAAGTATGCACATCCATATACCTGTATATACACATACACGCCACACAGTCATGTGCATCATTCAGTGTAGTGCCTGCACACAGCAGTGTTCCCCAAAAAGTAGAGAAGCGGTTGGAGCTGGGTCATAGAGATTGTGTAACTTAACATCTTCATTCAGAAGCTAAAAAACTTGAGTGAAAAGTTTGAGATCACTCTCAAAATTACTAGGAAAGAAACTAGATCAAAGGTGATTTTACATAAAATGAATATTTTATCACATGTTTTGAGCCTATTGAGTTGTCATTTTTATTAACTTACCACTGTGTGTAATAACTTAGATTGCACCCTCTCATTTATCTGTTAGAGATGTTTGCCTATTTGGTTTTTCCTTTTTCTTTAACAGTGAACTGTTTTCCTTTCATATCTAGAAACTCTTAGGCAGTAGAACCCAAAGCACCCACAAAGATCTAAGTCCAGGTTTTCATTTGTCCACAATGAGCTAGACAAGGACAACACGGGCTCATGCTGAGTCACTAAAGAGCACCAGGCTCAGCAGGAGGCACCCAGGACATGGAACACCATTCATGAGAAGCAAGTGTCTTCAGTAACTTCTCTTCCTGTAAAACTGAGTCAAAATCAGTCTGTTATTTTTAATTTTTAGAGATTTATTATGCATATAAGAACAGGCCAGAGGTGCGCAGGGTGAGAAGATTCACCAGAGACAGCAGGGAGCAGAACAGGCAGGTGTACTGAAACACACTGCTGAGGCGAGCAGCTGGAGAGACAGGAGAGGTCCGCTGTGCCATGTGGGTCACCTCCCTGGCCAGGGGTTGAGCTCATGTTATAGTGGCAGTGATAGCTTGATGCACTGAGACTTTAACTCTTGCACCACCAGGAGGTAGAGTCTAGATGTTTTAATTACTCCGGAAAGAAAAGATAATAAGAGATGCTACATTAAAGGCTTGCCTGCTTAAATGCATAATGTACTCAGAAATGGCTAATTAGCAATAATCTTACAGAAGTAGCAGCTTTGGTTGGTGGCGTGACCAACAGCAGTGGGCAAACTGGAAGCTGCCCAGGTTGGTAGTGCAAGTGTCTCTCGGGTGTTCCCGGAGTTTTTAAAATGGAGTGTCTGGTTCACCTCTCAGAGCCAAAGGCAACAGGCATCAATGCTGAAAAGTCTCTTTTCCGTGGTCTCACTTCTAGGCTCATTTCCAACCCCCTTTCTTCAACCTTTCTTCTCAACTGCCCCTCAACTGAGTTATGAAAATCTGTCGGTTAATTATACATAATATCTAGAAGGTGGTGTGGGGATTTTAGGGCAGAGCTGAAGTAAAAGACTGAACCTCACAAACGTTAGACTGGCCAGGGAGAACAGCACCAACTAGTCTATGGAGTCTCCATGTTTCACACATTTGTAGGAATCAAGGTTGAGCTTTAAAATTGTTTTTATTGCGGTATCATCCACATATACCATTATGCTGGTTTCAGGTGTACAACCTAGCCTGATATTTACAGATACTGTGATCTCCTTGGGAATATAGTCACGATCTACCCCCATACAAGACTAACTTCAGATTTACGTTCTTGATACCATTCAGGTGTATTCTACAACATTTTTGATTCTAGATGCCACACTGTACATTATGTCCCCCTGATTTGTACCTCTTACCTCCCTTTATTTGTTTTGCCAACCCCAAGCCCCCTCCCTCTGGCAATCAGTGTTCTGTTTTCTCTATACTTGAGGTTTTTTTTTTTTAAATTCCGTATATAAATGAAATCCTACAGTATTAGTCTTTCTGTGTGATTGCTATGCTTAACATTAATTCCTTAGTGTTGCAAATGCAGGATTCCACTGTGTAAGTATTTATGGCTGAGTTGTAATCCATTGATTACAGTCATGCACCCACTGATACCTACGTGGCTCCCCTATCTTGGCTCTTGTAAGTTTTGCTGCGATGAGCATAGGGGTGCACACGTTTCTTCTTAGAAAGTGTTTTTGTCTCCTCTGGGCAAGTACCCAAAAGTGGAACTGCTGGATCATGATAATTCTAAGTTTTTGAGAATCTTCCTGTTGCTGGCCATGGTAGCTATCCCAGTTTTTTCCACCAGTAGCATATGGGGCTGTTTTCTCTACATCTTCGCCAATGTTGGATTTTTTTGTCTTTTTTTAGCCATCACATAGTGGTAAGATGACATTTCCTGGTGGTTTTGGGTTGCACTTCCCTGACCGTGCTATGGAGCATCTCTTATTATTCCACTCTCATTCCACTCTTTCTCTGCCATTTCAAAGTTAGTTGTCTTGGATATATAATTGAAAATATTTTTTCCATTGAATAGGTTGTGTTTTTATTTAGTGGATGGTTTTCTTACTGTGCTTTTGGAGTCAGTTCCAAAATCCTTATCATACCACCTGTCTTTTCTTCTTCCTTGATGATTCCTTCCTTTTACAATGTCAAGTCTTGTGTTCAGATTTAATCCATTTTGAGTAAATTTTTGTGTATGGTGTAAGATATTGGTCTAGTTTCGCTTCTTTTTTTTTTGGCCAGAGCTGTTCATTTAACCCAACACCATATATAGAGGCAATTCCTCCCCCCTTTGTTGTAAATTAGTGGGCCCATATACCTGTGGGTTTATTTCTTTACTCTGTTCTGTTTCATGATCTATGTGTGCTTTGATGCCTGTACTCTGTTTTGATACTACAGCTTTGTAACACAGGTGAAGTCCTCAGTTACTATTGGTAGTCTTAGAGACTTCAAGTGAAATGATGATTAACAAAAGCAGGCCCTCAAACATCTTTGGATTACTTTTCTTTCCTCAATATTATAATAATGTGATGTTGCATGAAACATTATTCTGGGTTCAGCTGTAGCTTGAAATCAGGGAGGATGAGAATGACACCACCAGTTTTGTTGTTTTCTAAAGATTGCTTTGGTTCTGCAGGTTCTTTTGTGGTTCCATACAAATATTGGTGTGTTTGTCATGTTTCCGTAAACATGTAATTGCAATTTTTTTTAAAGATTTATTTATTTGTACATACAGAACTGGGGTACAGGCCAGAGGCTCAGGGGCAGTGAGAGGCTAAACCAGAGACAGAGTGGGGCGCAGAACAGGCAGATCGACAAAGTACACTGCTGAGGGGAGCAGCGGGCGGGTCAGGAGAGGTCTGCCAAGCCATGTGGTCACCTCCGGGGCAGGCGGGAATCGAACTCATGTTCAAGTGGCTTTAGCTTCTCAGTGCTGTGCTTTAACCTGCTGCGCCACCAGGGAGGGCCATAATTGCAATTTTGATAATGATTGCATTGGATCCATTTATTGCTTTAGCTGATAGGTTATTTCTGACAATATTATTTCTTCCAAACCGGGAGTATGGAATATCTTTCAATAGTGTTTTACAGTTTCAGCATACAGATGTTTTCATCTCTTAAAATTTATTCCTAGATATTTTTTGATGCAGTGTAAATAGGGTTGCTTTCTTCATTACTGATACTTTGTTACAAGGGTATAGAACTACAACCATGCTTTGTATATGGATTCTATACCCTGTAATTTTACTGAATTTGCTTATTCTAGGTTTTTTTTTGTTTGTTTGTTTAATGGAGTTGTCTTCAGTTTTCTCTGTATAAAAATCACGTCACATGGAAATACCATAAGTCTCCCCTCCAATACCTTTAGTCAAAGAATTTTTTTCTTGGTTTTGCCAGTTGGGTTTTCTTTGGGTATTTATAGTCTACAAATGAGTGAAAACATCTCATAACTGTCTTTTACTTTCTGACTGAGTATAATCATCTCAAGATTCACTTACTTTGACCTGTAGTCACTATTCCATCTGTTTTTAGTTTCATCTCTTTATGCAGCTGGTTGTTGATGTGCATTTAGGTGGCTTCGGTGAACTGGCTATTATGGTGGTTCTATTTATGCAGAATGAACAAATCTTTTCATAATCTTTTAGGTATTTACTCTAAGTGATATTGATGGATCATATGGCATTTCTATATTTTCTTGAGGCATCTCCATACCATTTCCCATCGAGGGGGCACACGTTACACTCCTACTGAAACGGGATGAGTGCTCCTTTCATTGTTGATCTCACCATTTATCATTCCTGGTCTTAATAATGGTGACTTACAGGGGTGGGGTACTATGACTGAGGCTTTGAATTACATTTCCCTTGTAAATAGTTTCTTGATGTTCTTTTTTAACTGCAGTTAACTGAAGGTCTAAGCTTCTGGGCCCAGGAAAGTAGGAATCTCTGTGGTATGGTGTCCAGTGCATCTTTTTCTTGGTTTCCAGGTGAAATAGTCTGTGGTGATTCCAGTGAGG